GAAGAGGTATGTGTTGAAATGCAAGAGTGACAAATGCTCTTGGATGATGATGGCATCCATCGTAAAAAACACATCTCGATTCGCTATTAAAAAATACAACGGGAGACATATTTGTACAGTTGGTGACCGTAGCCGAACACACAGCCAAACAACTTCGAGATATGTCTCAGATTTAATTTTAGAGAGTTTTGATGGGACGGATGATTTAATTAGGCCCAAAAATATCATGACTTTCATGAAAAACAAGAGCATGCCGATCACATATGCAAAGGCTTGGTGGAGTAGGAAGTTCGCAAATGAAGCCATGTTTGGGAAGCCCGAGACTAGTTACGAAAAGCTTCCATTATACTTGCACATGTTGAAAAAGGCAAATAATGATCTTGTAACAACCCACCTAGAACTTGATGAGGGGGGGTGCCTTCAAGTATGTATTCATAGCATTTCATGCATGTATTTCTGGATTTCAAGCATTGAGGCATGTCATTGCCGTTGACGGAACATTTCTTAAGACATCCTATAAGGGTGTTTTACTCATTGCAACGGCTCAAGATGGTGACTTTCACCAATATCCCCTTGCCTGGGCTATTGTGGACTCTGAAAACAACGACTCATACTCTTGGTTTTTTGGCCTTTTAAGGAAGTTAATTCCTGATTCTAGAGACTTGGTGTTCATTTCGGACAGACACATTAGCATTCGAAATGGGATAAGAAAGCACTATTCGGCTGCGGATCATGGATTGTATAGGTATCACATCACTTGTAATTTGAGGAAGCGTTATCCAAAGATGTGCAAAAAGGGGTTGGATACACTTTTTGAGAAACTTGCAAACGCATACACCAAACGGTCATTCAAGAGGTTGTATGGCGACTTGAAAGCAAGGTATCCAGCTGCTGGCAATTACATTGACAATATCCCAAAGAAAAGATGGGCAAGGGCGTATTTTGAAATAAACCGGTACCAAATAATGACAACAAATGGCGCCGAATCAATCAATAACATATGAATTTATTGTTTTGAAACACTATAAAAAAATAGTGAATTTGGTAGTTATGCTTTTTCTGCAAAACTCGTTAAGTGCCAATAAGATAAAACTAAAAAATTCATAGTAAGTGCCAATAACATATCAAAAAAAGTCTAAGTAATGATTTGTAAAAAATTACCTTAAATATTCAAATTATATCCAAAAATTTATTGTTTTTAAAGACCATTTAATGATTTGTAATAAAAAAAAAGTAAATGAAAAGGTCTATTTGGGAAGGGTCGAAATTGCGTGAAACACCAACTCAATCTAAAAATTGCGAGTGGTCGAATATGGCCACAAAGGTCAAATTGGTCGAATTATCCAATAAGAAAAAGTAATAAGCCTAATGATGACGGTATTCGACCAAAAACTATCCAAAAAAGAGTTGTACAAACACGTTAAATCCCCAGGCACGCATACCTGGAAAAGATCAGATAATGATAATGTTCATTAAATAACAATCAATTAATTTTTTGTTTCCCGTCTATGATGACGGTAAACTCCCACCATAAAGGTGTTGTTCCCCACCGGCCTCATCACAAGCTTGTCTCCAACACGCAAACCATTCGAATCAACAAAGTAACGCCACATTCTCTTCAGGAACCCATCACCAATACAATCAACCTTGAGTGTGCAGACCACGGGCTACATGTTGGGTCCTATGAGAGTGACATCTGTTTTTCCCTCTACAAAGCCATTTGCTTCGCAAAATTCTTCACTTAAGGGCTGAGACAATAACGGATTAAAAGTCATTAATTGATGGAGGAGAATACACCATGTATTCCAAACAAAAATTTTGTGTTTGGTCGAATTTGGTCAAAATAGTCAAATACGTCGAATTGGGTCGAATTTGGTCAAAAAGGTCAAA